AAGAGGCTGTGGTTTATTTATTTCACATTTTGGGGAGTTGTGCATTGCTATCGCAACGTCTTCATTGTGATAGCAACGTGAGGCTTTCCTGTCGTGCAGCTTCTTCGTACACCCGTCGGCAAAACGATCGGGACGCTGTGCACGGCAACCATAGTAAAATGAACCTTCGGCATCGCAGCGGCGTCTCACGTTGAGCATATGGCGTCGAGACATCGCAGTGCACGTGCGCAGCCAATTATATGTCGCGTGATGCGGTAGGATTCACTTTCATTGTTGAGTCTGTCTGATGCTCAAAGCGCGGTGGCACGCAGGAGGTGGGGCCGGGTACCCCGCTTGTTTTACATTTATCAGCCAGTTAACACGTAGCAGCGGACCTCTTCGATTTCAATGACCTCGTTCACAATTCAGTATCAGGCGGTACGCTTTCCCAAAAAAGAACATGGCCAGGCGTGAAGGCTACTAATGCTTCACGTGGCAACAGCTTGTGACGGAGACAAAGTAATCTTAATCGGGTGAAGCGAGCAGCCGACGCCTTATGCCAACCGTGGCCCCGTCAAATTAAGTGCATGACGGAATAAAAAAATAATAAAATGTCTTCACCGCAAGGCGCTACATATAATCAGCGAATACGTTGCAAACATGTGAAAAGACAGGGCCGCGTAAGCGAAAGGGCGCGCACGAGCACTGCTATGCCTCGACACCATACGTCTATCGTCAGACGGCACCGCTATGCAGTTTTATGCCAGTGCAGTCGCTACTCGCACGCCCCAAATTATCTTGCCAACGGGTGTATGACGGACATGGACCTGACTCTAATCACCGACAAGGCCTTTTCAACTCGGTTGGGCACCTCATCCTGCAGAGACTCCACTCCCGACTTGACCTTCGTCAAGAATCTCCCCGATGAACAGTGGGCCAACTCAAACACTGACTTAGGTAGCGACCATTACGTCCTGGTGACGCAGTTCTTAGTGGTCCGAAAGAGGGCACGGGAGTTTTCTTGGACATACTGGGACCAGTTTCGCAAAGTCCGCAACGACCGACCCTTACCTGCAACCAGGTCAAACCTACAGGAGTGGATTAGCCAGCTCAGAGAGGACGTCATAAGTACCACGAAGAATATCAGTACTGACCTTCCGGTTGAAAAAAATGGATAGCCGCCTTGCCCGCCTGCTCGAGGCCAAGCAGTCTTTTCTCGCCCGCTGGAAAGGCCAGCGCCTCAATCACAGGTTGCGCAAGAAAATCTCCGACCTAAACAAGACCATCGAGGAGCACTGTCGCGTCTTCTCCAAGCAGCAGTGGGACGAGGTGTGCAACTCGGTAGATGGCCAGAGGCGTAATGGCAAGACATGGAACCTGCTCAAGCACCTGCTCAGCGAGACTAACACCAAAACTAACCAGCGGAACGTACTAGCGCGAGCCATGCACGAAGCCAAGCAGTCCTCTTCAGAAGAGGAGGTTTTGAAGCAGCTGGTGCAAAGGTACCTCCCTATCGACTCTAACCCCGCAACAACGTACCCCGAGTACTCAGGACTGGCCAACACTGAACTGGACGCCGAGATATGCCACGAAGAGGTTCGGCAGGCGCTTTACGGGCTCAATGGAAGGTCTGCCGCGGGCCCCGACGGCATAACTAATAAGACCCTGCGCAACCTGGACGACCGGTCAATCGACTACCTCACCGAGGTCATCAACGAGGCATGGAAGAGCGGCGAGGTCCCCGACCCGTGGAAGGTCGCACGCACCGTGCTCATTCCTAAGCCGAGGGAGGTCACCCAACTTGGACAACATGCGCCCCATTTCGCTCACATCCTGCGTGGGAAAGGTAGCCGAGCATGTGGTCCTCAATAGGTTGACTCGGTACCTCGAAGGCAATGGGCTCTACCCGTACACTTTTCGGGCCAAGCTTTCGACGCAAGACGCTATGAAGCTGCTCAAGCACCAAGTCATCGACTGCAACACTCGAGACATGCGGGCCATTCTCGGCCTCGACTTAGAGAAAGCCTTCGACAATGTTACTCACTCTTTCGTGTTGCGGTCGATTGCTGAGCTCGGCCTTGGAGTCAGATTCTACAAATATGTCAAATCGTTCTTGACCCGTAGGAGAGCCACCCTCAGTGTGGGAGACCTTGTCTCCGAGGAGATAGAGCTGGGATCGCACGGCACGCCACAGGGGTCAGTGATATCGCCCACCCTGTTCAATCTTGTCATGGTCGGGTTGTCCAAGAGGCTCTCATGTATCGAAGGCATTAACCACACAAATTACGCGGACAATATTACCATTTGGTGCACAGGTGGCAGCGACGGGCAAGTCGAGCGCTCCCCGTAGGAGGCCATAGACACCACAGAAGATTACCTCCGTCCCACAGGCCTGAGGTGTTCCCCAAGCAAGTCCGAGCTCCTCCTTTACCAACCCACTAGGCGAGGGCCCAAGCCCAAAAACTGGCAGCCGATCTCGAAGAGTGATATCAAGCTCTACACCGGAGATGGCAGCGCAATACCCAGAGTCGACTCCATTCGGGTTCTCGGCATGATCTTCGAGTCCAATGGTTCCAACGGCAAGACTATACTCAAGCTCGCCGCCAAGACGGATAACGCGGTTCGGCTGGTTCGGCGGGTGGCCAACCGCTACCAAGGCCTCAAGGAAGACAACCTAATCCGGGTGGTCAATGCCTTTGTGCTCTGTCACTTTTCATATGTCGCGGCCATGCACAATTGGCAGCGTGCCGAGCGCGACAAGATCAACGTCTTGCTCAGAAAGATTACCAAGCGGGCCCTCGGTATCCCGATCAGGACGCGCACCGAGCGCCTGCTCCAGCTCGGAGTACACAATACGTTGGAGGACATTGCCGAAGCGCAGGAGCGGGCCCAGCTCGCGCGCCTTTCGAGCTCCCAGGCTCCCAGACCGGCAGACATATACTCCGAGAGCTCGGTCACTCTCCGGCTGAAGTGGACGAGAAGATGAGACAGGTGCCCCGTGAGATTCGTGACCTCATCACCGTGGCACCGATACCGAGGATTGTCCATCCCGAGCACAATCGTGGTAGGCGACGGGCTAGAGCTGCCACTCTTCTCAAGCAGATTCACAGTGAGGAGCACGGCGTCAGCATTGTCGACGCGGCAGCGTACCGTGGGAGCCGCGCCTTCTCCGCAGTCGTCGTCGACTCCAAACAACAAATCACCAACTGCGCATCAGTTCACACTGACGATCCGACGATTGCCGAGCAAGTGGCCATTCGCCCTGGCCATCCTGGAAGGTGAAAGGGAGGTCATCTATAGTGACTCTAGGTCAGCTATTTGCGCTTTCGAGCGCGGTGTAATCTCCAAAAAAGCCCTGCGCGTGCTCCAAAGTGGTCGCCGCGACGGCATCAAGCACCACGTACTGATTTGGTTTCCTGCACATGTTGTACAGGTCCAAGGCGCTCCCCACAACCTCAACGAGTCTGCCCACGAAGCCGCGCGCGCACTAACCGACCGCGCAGGTTCCGGGCAACGATTCGGGGCCAACAGGGTTGCGGAAAACAGGGACGCGCCTGCCACGTACAACGAAATAACAAAATATTTTTACCTCGCGCGGAGACCATATCCACTCCCTCATCCAAATCTTAATAGGCCACAGGCTCGTACGCTCAGACTACTGCAGACCGACACGTACCCTAACCTGAGATCCCTTCACGCTATTTATCCGGACGTGTTTTCCAATGATGCTTGCCCCGCATGTGGGGATGTATCCACGCTGGCACACATGCTCTGGGAGCGCAAGGCAATGTATACTAACCCCAACACTACATCGGTCAGGTGGAAGGCGGCCCTACGCAGCTCCCTCCTGGCCGACCAACTTTGGGCCGTCCAGCAGGCCCGCGGAGCAGCTGATAGGCTTGGCCTAACGGTCCCGACGTGGGAGTCGCCCGCTGCGCGCTGACGCGCGCCTTGCAGGACCTCAATAAAGTTTCGCAACCAACCAACCAACGGGTGTATGACATCAAATGCAACACGAACAGCGGAGCGCGTGGCACAAGCCTTATCAATGGCAGAGTGCGCGCCGTCCATCAGTCATTGACACAGACAAACCCACACATCCGGTGTGGCAGCACTGCGCGATCCCCCTAGAGTGCAATATTTCTGCTTATGTTCCAGGTATGGCAATGGTATTTGAAAGAAAAAAAACAGAGGTTGAACTTCTAAAGCCGAAGGCGAGTGTTGTAACACGGTTTGTCTTAACGGAGTCCATTAACACGGAATTCCTGGATAATTCTGTTTAGACATAACTCGGTTCACAATGCTGGCAATTTCACGCTGTTTCACTTCGTGCCGGTAAAGCGAAACAATTTGCGCTCTCTCTTCCGAAGAAACGCTCGGCATTTCCAGTTGAAGTGAAGCCTCTTGCGGTCGGTATCTGAAAGAAGGGTGCAGGTGAAGCAGCGCTGGCGAACGAGATACGAAGATCTTTGGAAAATCAGCCCCAAACAATTTTTTTTGTTTTATCGTGCCAATGCACCGATTGCACTGCGACGCTGAAGTAAAAGCTAAGAATTGGGAGTGATACGATCAAAAGAGCTTTGCACGCCCACAATTTCCTACCATTGTCACCAGTACTGAAAACTAGAGCAGAAACGGAGATAACGCACTCTAGGTGGATCACGCAGTGCTTCCAAACCGGATGTGCACTCCTGTCAATGGTGATGACTGGACGGCCAACACTATACTGTTTCTAATGCTTGAAACACGCGCTCCACTGTTCGGGTTTCATTCGACGCCGATAGTACCCCCGATTAGCCTGTGTTGCCGCCACTGAGCAGGTAAGCATTCGTAGAGGGCACTTTTTGTTTTATTCTAGTGTTCGCCTAAGTAATGCATGCCTTACCCCGTGTTGCGAGCCCAATATTAGCCTTGCTGCCACAATTTCATGTCTCAGACCTCCCGGCGCGTACAGTGCTGTTGCGCGCGAACAATGGCTCCTATTATGTCATGATATGTGGGAAATAAGAGAGCGTACTGACCTGGCTGGGCGCGTGGGCATGAACTCGGCTGTACACAGTGTAGCGCTGGAGCACGCCATTTGCTTTGGGTGGTGGAAGCCAGCTGATAAGGATGGCGTCTGGTGCCAAGATTAGTGCCTTGATGTCCGCAGGTGCTTCAGGCACTGAACAAATCATCGCACAGTCAACGTCCTGTTAATGAAGATTACTTGATACAGTGAAAAACGCAGCTGCTCTAGATTGACCCCTCTTAGTTACCAACGTTGGTATTTTGCAACCGACAAATTTGAAGCATCACTGCGGACGACATAAGCTAACGCATAAAAAAAACAGCGGGAAAATAGGACAATGAATAAAAACTGAATAGTAAAGAAGACAGCGCTGAAACGAATACAAAGGACGAGAGCACTTTCCGTCCTTTTTTATTCGTTCCAACACTGCCCCCTTTCATTTCGTTACAAATCCAAACTGCCCCAATTTTTGGTGATTCTACATTGAGGAGCGTATGAATTCTTCATTTTTCGCGTCCGCATTGTATGTGTTTTTTCGCTGGTTTACTTCACAGCAAATCAGGTACTGTAACACGACAGTGAAGTGTCCACCGCTTATACGCGCTACGTTCAGGTTACATAGGTTACATCGGGCGATTTCCGTACTTTACATCGGGCAACCAGACGTTTTCGGCGAATACCCTGACTTCGGTTTCAGGGCATTCTTGCGACAGGTAATTTGACTGTATTCTTACCGTCTTCGGGTGTGTTGCAGTGCACTGGCTCGCTGAATGCACCCGTGCCGGCGCCAGTGCGAGCGGCTACGCGGACGCTGTAGTTGCGGAAAGGCTCCACGCCATCAAGGACGACTGACGTGACGTCGGAAGGCACGTCGCGCTCGGTCCATGCTGGCCCCGTCCGCGACGACGCCGTTCGACTTCTTCAGATCCACGCATAGTGAGCAAGGTAAAGATGTAATAAAAAAGAAAAAGAAAGGATCACTTAGGCATTTCGGGTATTTCCTATGAGATTAGGTGGGAGCATGAAATAATAGATAAGTGAAAGAAATCAGCATTAGCCGGGCTACGATTGTTATTAGGCCTGATCATATTGCTTTCAATTTAAGTATAGGTTTTAATAGTGCTTTCATTTTTTCTTTAGTTTTCTCTCGAACTGTACTCTCTTTTGACTTTTAATTACCTTATATTTATCTGCTTTTGTAACCCACGATCCCCTTTTACCTTCTATCTCCTGTTACCTTAAGGGAGGAACAAAGTTTTAGCAACCGTTTTTTAAAAAAAAAATCTCGTACTTTAAATACTGCCTCATAATATTTGAGTGCAGCTTCGTGCAGAGGACAGCGTCAACTTTGTTTCAAATTCAGCTATCTGTAATAGTAGCTATGTAAATTCTTTACATGTTGCCACATAAACTGCCAGCTCTCGTGTGCTACAGCCACCACTCTGTGCATTGCAATCGTCGCGAACCGAACGAAACGTTGACAACCCCGTTACGACTCGCGAAGCCTGCCGAAGTACCCTTGCCAACCTTGCATGCGCACAAGCCAACGTGCCTGACAGAGAAAGGAAGCAAGCTTAGGAATCAGTGGCTTGTGATATCAGACAGTTATGGGATAGTGGAATCGAAGTGCGCATGCGAAATACCGTACGTGACCCGTACCGCTCACCGTACGCGCGCTGTGACGCTACGTGCTGGCGTGGTGCACGTAGTATACATAAAACATGGCGGAGAATTCAGACACCCACTTCGAAGTGATGTTAGCGTAGTTGGAAGATTCACTTTGCAGCAAATGACTGTTTGAAATGGCTTCACTTGCCTTCAGTTAGCCTCAATCACCGAGTATTACGGATAAGCTGGCGTAGTTTTTGAGATAGCTTTCTAATTAGAATGTTCTAAGATCGGCACGCAAATAGAAACACTCATATTCAAAACGGCACAAAGCTGCTGCTCACTGTAATATGCGCAAGATGCTCACCATAAAGATCGTGATCAATCGTCACGTAGAGGATGCGGTAACCCTTATGGAGGCCGTCCAGACTTTTCTCGTGTAGCACTGCCCATGAGACACGAAGGCTCGTGGTCGAACTGGCTGAGCAGCGGACGCCCGACGGAGCCACCTGAGGCACTGCGGGTAAAAAAAATGCAGTGTATAATAAACAGCGAATTCAATGCTGACAAAACTTCGCTTTTCTAAAAGCGCTGAAAATGAAATTCATGTTTCTGTAAACCAGTGCAAACGTCAACCTCGCTCATATCCAGCCAAGGTGCTCCGTGTGCTCGGTGATAGATGGGCGAGAAATGTGGATGCTAACACTCGGACATGAAAATAATAGGCAAGCTAACGGAAGCAGCTTGCTCAGTGTAACGCTAATTCATAGTAAGAGTTGCAGGCTATAAAGAGAGATGAGAGAGGAAAGAAGGGGTGTTAACCAGATGATAGTATCGCTCGCACGTACGCACGCACACACACCCAAATTGCCAGCGGAAATGGGCGTCCGCGAGGACGCTCGTGGCTTCGGCTGCGACGTGCGCAACCTCTCGACGGCTGTGCCAGGAAGTTTCAGCTTCGGTGGTTAATCATCTGTAATAATTCCTTTGCCAGTAAAGTTAGCAGACATTGTTAGCAGCTATTGCTTTATGGAATCAGCATTTCAATAGCGACGCACAGTGACAAGTACGAAATGCGGTAACCCAGCTACCTGCACAACACAGCTGAGCAGTCAGCTTTACCTTGCTAATTCCCTTTTTCGGTGACGGAGCGGCAGAACTTTGCCTTGCAGTGAATGAGATCCGCTAATACGTGTTTTGACATGGCTAAAAAGTCAGTAGCGCAGGAGGATTTGCTGATATTAGATCAGATTCAGAAGGACAATTTGCAGCCCACCCAGGGTTTTCTACTGCATTAGAATTCATGGCACATGTTTTTGCACGAGCGGTGCCACTACATTTATTTTATCGTCAATCTTGTCTTCCTTGATGACTGAAATGAGGTACCAGCTGCACGTACTCTCACATTCAATAAATTCTGCTTTTTTCACACCACACGCGAGACAGCATTGTATCTCCAACAGAAACGATCCGCACGCAGACCTTCTGAAAGCGTTCATGTTTGCCAGTGTTGCCTAACTTCGCAGTGCTCGCTGGCTTTCCTTTTACTGGCAAATATTCGACTGAGATACACATGGTTATTCTTGCCTAATGTCACAAAGAGCTAAGCTATGCCTCATCGTCTTCCTTTCACTAATACATCCTCTTTCTCCGCGCTTCTCTTTCCCTCCACCTTGGTATTCACGGCTGTTTTATACATGTTTTGTATTCGTGACGCCGTACACGACTATGCTATGCCTTATCCTCTTCCTACATCCTTTCTATCCTCCCCAACCTCACACCACACCTCCTCCAAGTCTCTTCCTTCTCTCTGCACATGCTGTACTTCAGAGGGTATGCTTTGCATAGTTTTTCCTGTCTTGCGCCACACATTACTATGTAATGCTTACCTCGGGTGTGTTCCAATGCTCACCGTAGACAGCTATATAGACAGCTAAGTGGACGGAGGTCATCCTAAGCCCTCATTAAAGTTCTGCCGTAGGCAGCGAAATAGCTTCGACGAGACCACATCGTAGACAAAAACGATGCAGGCTACTTTGCTGTCTAAACAAGATAGCGGCTCAAAAAATTGCTTAGATAGCTTAGATCTCGTCGGAATGGTCGTCTGCCCACAAGCATACGCTTCTCGAGATGCTCAATGTAACGTTCATTTTTTCTTAGCGCTGAAAATAAAATGAGGTAGAAAAACTAACAGTTGCGTTTGTTTAACTTAGCTTTGTCTTCTCGACGCTAGGTGGCGTGCCGTGAGTGGACACCATTCAGACGTGCTCTATTTCTCGGACATGCGCTAAATTCTGCCTTCTAAGATGTCAGCATAGGCTTTCTACAATTCTGTCTTCAACTAGAACACAACCCCTCTCCCATCCTTGCTACCTTCACAGCACTCTTACTTGCCCTGACTTTATTTTCTCGTCCCTTTATAATACATGGCTATGTTGTACATTGTTTTGCATACGTGCCGCTATGCGGCAGCATATCACGACAGCACATTACCTTCTTGCTTCTCCTCCTCCCCTTCTTTCCTCCTTTCTCTCCTCACAGTCACATGACTAGTTTTCTGCTTCTCTTCTATTTACCTCCCCTATGCCATACATGACTATGCTGTTCGTGGTTGCGCTTGCGTTTCACCAAGCGACTTGAGAGGATGGCAGCACACGACAGCCCGGGACCCGAATTACTCCGCGACTTGGCAGTTGCACCCTACTATTTCTTAGCGGCTGTTCTAGCTGTGTACTTACATCTCGCAGTTTTTTATCACTACGTATTATGCTATTTGCTTTCAAAAGATCATCTTTTAAAATATTGCTTAAACTATGAAGCTGTCGGCAGCTTCAAATATCCTCGGGATCAATTGTGTGTTATTTGAGCTCAAACTTGCGTGGCTGATTTTTTAAAGAAAAGAAGTCAGTGAATTACGCAATGAACTTGACAAATTCAGCCGACCCGACGCACTGTGGGATCTGCAATGATGCGATGTAGTCAGTGATAGGCTGTACATAAAAAGCGTTGTTTGTTGTCTAGGCAAATATTATCATTCATTCTATGGCAAGCTGTACACTATCGCATCTTTCTTGTGCATGTATGCATAAATGTTCTAGTATATTCCGTCCTTATGAAAGTGCGTTTTAAACGATGCATGGTCTGTCATTTTTGTTTTTATAGAGCCAGCTCATCCCATAAAAATTTTGGCAGATGCCCGTCAGCAAAAGAGTCACGAGAGTACCAAGACAGCGGCATTTAAACAATGCCGTTGGTGACATGTATCGTTTTTATGTTATGACTAATCTCTCAGTTCGTCCCAAACTCCAGACCCAGGCTTAATATATTCCAGTTAACTAAGCAGCTGTGAATTCGCAAAATTCTTGGGGCTACACAGATGTTCTCCAAGAGGCAAAAGTATGCTATACGAAATGACAAGGTATAAAATAGACAGAAAATGAGTCGCCTTTTGAGAAAACAAAAATATCTTTCATATTATTGCGCGGAAACCTAATACTTTCATACAGTGCGACAACTTCTGTACTCCTTGCTGTGCACGTGCTCTCCTTGCGCACCTTTCTAGCACTGCCCGTTCGCAATTTCTTGACTTTAGTATCTTTCTTTCTAAAACACCCTATTCTATTGAAAATTCGCCGCGTGCACTTCAGAAGCCGTAACAGTGCGCTCACCGTCTTCCGCAGTATAGACGATGACCTCGTCTGAACGCGGTCCGGCGCCCACGGCATTGAACGCCTGCACCAACACGCTGTACTTGGTGAACTTGCGCAGGTTGTTGAGCACGCACTCTGCGGGTGCCTCGTCCCCCTCTCCTCCGCTCTCGACCGTCTTGTACAGGTGCAGGTCGCTCGAATTGTGCAGCTTGTAGCCCACGTAGTAGCCCCGGATGCTGCCGTGACGAAGTTCGGGAACCGGAGGCTGCAAGTGCCAAATTCACTGTTCACTGTATCGAGCGCTGTCATCACTATGGCGCGCTTTTCTCAACATTGTCTTCACTCGAACGGAGGCACAATTGTGATTGTTCTGTGCAGTGTACTTCATGGAGCAAAGCACTGAATGCATAATAAAGACAACGAAAGATAATAATTTCGTAGGTGTACCTAGCCAGAAAAGGGCTACTTGAGATTATTATTTAAACACTGAAGTACGTAATATAGTGTTCATGGTGCTCGACAGCTGAAGTAAAGGTCACGGGTTTAAATATTGTCCACGCGGCTGCATTTTGATGGAGGCTAAATGCTAGCTAGACCCGTGTGCTTAGATTTAGGTGGACGTTAAACAACACCAAGTGCTCAAAATTTTAGAGGCGAAGCTCCTTAGGGTGTGGGTCTGTCTTTCCTTCGTTGCTGTCGTACGTAGCCACTGGTGGCACATACCCGCTCTGGAGTGGGTATGTGCCACAGGGGTGGCGAGATGGGAGATGGCGGCACTTGGAGTGTTCACTAGATGGACGCACGGACGGATGGACGGACGCGCTGAGCGGGTTTGCGCCCCAGGAAATGCGAGATGCGAAATGGCGGTACTTGGAGTGTTCACTAAAAGGACGCACAGACGGACGGACGGACAGAAAGTCTATAAGACGGACGGACAGATTGACGGACGCGCGGACGGACGGATAGACATAGTGGAAGACGAACGGACAGATTGACGGACGCGCGGACGGACGGATGCACGACTGGACGGACATACGGATGGATGGACCCATGGGCGGATGCATGGACAGACGGATGGAAGCATGAATGGACGCATGGATGGACACGCGGACGTACGGAAGCAAGAACTAATGAACGGACGGGCTGATGGACGCTTCGCCCCACTCATCATCATTCACTCTGTGGATATACTGTGATTTTTTGTGATCCTGCAATAATATGTATCTCATAATCATGTCGTAGTTTTGACGAAACTCTGTGATTATTATTTTTTATATTGTTGATATTTCTTACTTATTTTTATTTATCACCTTCAAACTTTGCGAACGAGCACTGTTTTTAGATAGAATTTCTGGGTGAAGTTGTGTGTACACTTTAAAGAAAACTTCAGTTTGATTTTAACACATAGAATGGGTGAGAACTGGGTAAGATAATTATCTCATGAACTAAATTTTCAGTCCTGACGTTTTAATATGTTTTACATATCTTCAACAAAATGTTTGTACAGTTGGATAAAAGAATTGGGCTAAAATGGCTCTGGTATTGAGTGCCTAATAGTGGAATAAACGGCTTTATTTGCCTTTGCAAAAAATACAAATGGGTGAAAATTTTAGCAGCGATTTTTGCCAGCATGCCAACGGTTATCGCACATATACATTCCCCTATCTACTTTATACATGTTATTTGTCCTGCTTTAAAATTCACAATGTTTGAATTCACGGGGCATAACCCATCCAAAAAGAAGCGAAGAAGGGCAACTGCAAATACTCATCCCATCTAGCACTCATATCAAATAAGACAAGTACCAATGCCAGAAGTGGACGTAAGTCTTACCTTCCAAGTAACTTTTAGAGACTGAGGTCCTAATGTTTGGACGGAAACATGTGTTGGCGGACCTCCAGGCACTGTGAGAAGACGAAAACATACATGAAGCTTGAGTACCTCCATCAGTATAAGAAAAATGCAAATTAAGTAGTTGACTCCTAACGAAGTGCCATGAAAGGTGCACGCACTTGCCAAAGAAGTTTATCTGGTTTCTTTTGGAAGGGTTGAATTACTACGAATATATCATCTTTACGGTAATGGAAAATATTTAGCGACTTTCTCTTAACGCGTCGTGTAGGTAAGGACGTCCATGCAAGGTCTGATATTTCAGCGCTTCATGTTACCTTGACAGCCTTGCTTACATTCAAAACAGCCACATTACTGAGTTGTTCTCTTGTTTAATTTTAACCTAAACCTCAACATACTGCTAAGCGCTCTTCGTCATGAATTTTAGGTGCGCTTTCTTAATCCTAGTTATAGCAACAGTCAAACAGTTTCTTGACTATATGTAAAAACAAGGAAAACTCCACCTTGGTGTTACATATTACATATTGGTGTTACACCTTGGTGTTACAACTCCACCTTGGTGTTATATACAGCACAAGAGCAATAGGGGGACACAGAATGACTCGCCGCACTGTTTTCCTTATATATGATATGGTATGAAGAAAATTGTTTAGGTCCTGAGGATCAGTCCAGGACTGATGCTGGCTGCTCCCACATCGGGACAGAGAGGCCAAGCCCCTCTGCCGCCGCGCGGGCTTGAATGCTATGTATTTTGTGCCGTCTTGAGTTATCATGAACCAACTGAAATTCACTCCCGTTTTCCTTTTACCGATTCATAAAGTGCACGGGACGAACAATCTACTTACGTATGAGCTTTTACAAAAGAAAACTTAATGAATATGCTATAGCTTGACTTAGCATTTTTTTTGTGATTAAAGAGCCAGAGGCTGGTTATGCTGATTCAATACGTCTGTTCTGGATATAGTTTACCCGACAATGCTGGCTAGACAGTGCCGGGGCGTCAAAAAGGCACGCAAACAGCGCGGCGAACAGCGCGGCACCCTGATGCATCATTTTTTTTTGCAAGTGTTAGTAGCATATGAGGTGAGAAAGTCTTTTAGGGTCAGCTCTAATACACATAAAAGTCTAACATCTTTTAGTGACCGTTAAGCTCGGCGCGTGATGAAAGCAGTGCACTGCACTGTTCACATTTATCACACATGCATGTGTAAACGACGCTGGGTTCAATGAGAAATTCACAACGTGGGAAATACTCGTATATTCAGCCACGTCACTCGCCAGCCATATTTAGTTCACTGCCATATTATATACTGCTGCACTACCGGTCTATCAGAAACTAGACTGATTTTTTAGGTCCCTTAGTCTTGCCTTTGTCAGCTAGATTCCCGTACGCCCGTGTTGCAGTTGCGTATGATTCTTTTATGATCGTATGCACAGTCTTTTGTTTCTCTCTGGCTTCATGCCTAGAATTGGAAGGCTAATGGGCAAACATCCTGGACATACGAAAGATGTTGAGAAGGAGCCGACGATATACTCATAGCGAGGGAAAGCATTCTGCCTCGTCACTTTGAGATGTATGCAAGGATAGCGAAGGACCACTGTATAGTGGATCTGCTTACGTGTATCTGCAAGCACGGACGACCTACCACTTATGTATCTCCTGTGTAACATACTTCAATAGGATCTGCGTCGTACTGCTATCGCCCAGCGTTAGCTGAAGCTCACAAATTTTTAAATATAAAAGAAAAATAAAGGCTGTTTTTTTTGCAGAATCATTCACGTTTCTGATGTAAGTTTTATAAAAAAAAACTTAAGAAGACAACAAGTATTGAATGGACACGCAATAAAAAGGACGTAAGGGCACACCTTCCTCGTCCGTCGTGATCAACAATGGTGGATGGGTGAAGGGTCCCACACCCAGCGCGTTGACCGCGGCTGCCCTCAAGTGGTACGAGGTTGAAGGCTGTAGACTGCGCACCGTCCACGACGTTTGGTCACGATCAGCGCTCATATTGCGGACCCACGAGTCCGCGTCCACTGACCACGTAGCTGCGTAAATAAGTAGGCTTTGTTGAATGCAACAAATGTTTTCTACAGAGAAGTGGAATACTAAGTTACGCTTCACGATAGCCACTAATTCGTCCCCTAATTTCATGTTGAATCTCCAGTAGCCTTTTATCAAAGAATTAGTTTCTACTTGTATCATTGGAACATTTTACATGTGCGGAATAACCACATTCAGCCTGCACCTTATATCGACTTTTAATATATGGCAAGTGATAATGGTGGATGTGAGACTTGTGTGCTGAAGCCTACTAAGAACGTGACATGGTGCCTTGGTGATGGTGACGTTCTCTCTTTTTTACTGCACGAGTGCCTTTTAACAAGAACGTGGTTTATGCCGAGGCTCACCTAGGCTTCAGTGACGTATTTCTATCACGCAAATGACGTCGAAGAAAGGCACATAATGAGATAGCAAATAAAAAGCTTCCGTCACCACGAGTTGAACCCGGGTGCACATTAAAGATCTCCAGGTGGTCGAAATTGCCGGAGCCCCCCACTACAGCGTCTTTCATAATCATATGGTTGTTTTAGGAAGTTAAACACCACATACAAATCAATCAACGAGTCGAACCTGTGACGTCTGTGGCCAGTACCACATCCACCTCGCACACTATTCACTGCGCCATGGTTATATACGCATACCGTGGACGATGTACAAACACACATCTTATATTTCAAATTTTCCTGTAACAGTTCTCATAATCAGTGGCGAAGTAATGAATCAAGACCGTTGTCACCGCGATTTCACTCCAGGAACAAGTCGTCGCTAAAGACATGCGTGCGATTCGGGGCGTCTACAAAAAAAATTGCAATTTCATCAACGCCTTAACAGACCGCAACGTGGTGATTTTAAAATTTATACTGCAAACGTGGACAAGTTTAGTTCAAGCAAGTTCAATATCAGAGCTTTAAAAAAAACATCCCTACTGGTTTATGGAGCAGTGTGTCATCATTTAGAAACAGCAGCACAAACTACCGCGCATTTTTTAGTACCTTGCATCGTCAATTAGTAAACAGTCTTATACTTGATATATATATATATATATATATATATATATATATATATATATATATATATAGCACTTAGCATTATTTATTTTTTCAGTTTTTGATGATGTTGTTTCTCTGTTAGAGGTCTAGCGCTTTCAAGCCAAAGTTTTTCTCCTTTCCCCCATCTTAAGAAAAGAGAAAAAGCTTTCCGGTTCCTCGTTAATGTGCCTGTAATGAGGCATGACTCTCTGGCGGCGTCCATTACGGTTACTGAAATTACTTCCTCGGAAGCATTCATTCACTTCATCAGCTTTGAAACACCTTAGGCAACTTTTGGAAGCCCAACCTCTTAACTTCGAGGAAAGAGAGACAAAAATATCTGCTTGCTCGCAAGGAATCTGTTGACTTTCGCGCAGAAACACCAGCAGGCCTGAATAAGTATGTATGACAGCAAAAGCTCTGGTGCTCAGCGAGTTTCGATAAATACGGCACTATGTGTTGACGCCAGAACTTAAACTCGGAAGTCTATTTATATTTATACCTTAGGTGTTCAATCTCAAAAGAAGATGGATAACTTCAAAGAAGAGCATTTGTGTACGGTGTATCAGGTACAACGTGAAAAAAGTGATGGAGAGAAAATGTCTTGTTCAAGTGTGGATGTTACTGTTAACGTTGGTAGCCGTATGATATATGCCGTCATTAGGTAGAGGACATGTCAAAGAAAATATTCTATGGATGAAGTGGACGACGAACAGAAGAAAGAACAAAGATGGCGTTATGATGCATAAAGAGGAGATTTTGGTGCAGCGTTCCACTGAAGCCTCTGAGGCGGCAAACGAAGGTGTTCCAAGCGTTCCATGAATTGCTCTGGTGAGAAAAATATGAAACTCAATAATTGGCGAAGTTTTTACACGCAATATGTGAATGTAAATGTGTTTTAGTATGATCAGGGAAATACTTTGATAACTTGATTACAAGTTCAATGAAGTACATTAAAATGCAAAATAAAAATCAATGTACGAGTATGGGGTGTGACAACTCTTTTCTAGAAAAATCTGCTGTTACACTGGCAAACGGATATTCAAGTTGTCGAGTACAGTGCGAAGTATTTCGGTGACAATGCCGGCAGTTTTACTTTATGTGGGAGGCGTAAAAGTAGAAAAAAAACATAGCTGATCTCTCAGTCATACTAATCAATATACCTCAAAAGTGAAACGTGTCTTGGCAGGGGTATTTGTGCATGTATTGTTCATTGATATCTCACAGGTTGTACGATGTCTATTGGTGTTTGGTAACTATAGAGCCATTTGACGTGGAGGCACGCACGTTGGCACATTTAGCAATAAACAGCTATCCTCGATCACTAATTCTCATTATTATGAGCTAATAATTATGTTAGCTGAATTAGTCAGCATATGTCGGGACGCAGCATGCATGCTGTAAACACCACCGAAAGATGGCATCAAAAAGCACATTAAAACGTCCGAATTTCTCCGCAAAGGTGAAGCAATGAATTCCAATTGGATTGGAACGTGCATAACGGCAACCAGCTCAAAACTTGCAGCGCGCTGCTCAAGCACAAAGAATGCACAAAAAAAAACCCGCAGAGTGTATGCGCAAACAACAGGTGAGGCAGTGCTGCTTGCGCAGGCGTGAGGCAGCGAAATATTTTCTGTGGTGCTCCTACAAGTACATCATTCGCGAGTTGCGCTCTTATCCTCTGCTTCTTTGTAATTTTTGTGGCGTTTTTCACAATCAGAACTTACCCTCATATTGATTTATTAGCTAGCCCAGCAACAACTACTTCTACTTTCACGATGTGAACGTAAGGTTTGGCTCACACGATAAAAGCAGGTCATCGCTGTTCGATTACATTACTGTATAAGGATATATGGCCAACTCTGCTCTAATTGCAGCCCTCTCCACTACTGTGCGCACGTATATACAATTTGATCGTAACACTCTTTGGTCACGTCATTTCCAAAAACCAACAGAAACTCAGTGCCAGCGAATGCTTCGTGTCAGCGTTAGACAAACCAAATCAAAAAAAAAATTCCCACCGCCAAAATCTCGGGTTAGTGCAGTCGGTAGGCATACGCAAGGTATTTTTAAGTCGGGAGAAGTGAATTTATATTGGTGGATACATTCATGTGCTAGATACAACAGATAGCAAATGCTCCAAATGCGACGAATTTAATGCATGACTGCCAGCGCTAATGAAGTGCGCGCAAGATCGTGCAGTGTGCCTCAGAACGCACCAACGTACCAGAAGCGTTCTTGCACTGTATGAGATAGGACAGGATGGGACTGTTGCCGTTGTACGGCTCTCTCCAGGTGAGGCTCGCTGAACGACTGGTGACGCCGGTGACGTTGAATCCGACAGGTGTTTCTGGAGGTTCTGAAAGTACACCCGGAAATCTTGTTGACAAGTAACATGCCTCACATAAACGTTTATGGAAGAAATAATATAGTAAGAGAAAATGTTAGCGTAGGTTCCCCTGGAGGTTCAATGCTAAAAAGACAGCATGCCTGACCGGTGCTTGAGTAGTTCTGGCTTTGGGCATTCTGCTAAGCTTTTGGTGGATTTGTTATTTTTTTCTTCCCCTATTTCATTTTTTCTCTTCTTCCTTTTTCGTTCTATGCAATTTTTCTAGGATCATTCCTAACTGCTGTTCTCTCTCTCTGTATACATCTTTCTCTTTTTGCTCACCCTTAAGTTCTCCGTTTTATCCCTTTCTCTCTCTCTCAATTTCTCTTTTGCTTCGTCTTTCTTTCTATCACTATTCCTTTCTATTTGTCACTCGATTTGTTTTTTCTAAGTTCATTGATTCTAGCTCCTAATTCTGCATTTTTCCTGTGCGTGTCCCTATTTTGTATTCTTCCTATGCTACGCTTTGCTCCGTCCCTCCCTTTTTTCCCTTCTGCACACCATGACAATTGCCCACTTTATGCCCTTTTCAATTCCAACATCCATTCTACACCATATAATACATGGCTATGCTAAGACCTGCTAGCTTGCCTGGATTGCGGGATGGTTCGGACTCGCCTTCGAATTGAAGGTACGAGAGTCAAAAAGCCATCATGAGAAGAATTTTTTCAGCACTGTCTTTGTCTTTTTATATCTGTTTTTTTTTCTCTCCCTTTTTACTCGTTCTCTCACCCATCAGGGCTGCAACAGCCCACACTGGAGAGATCAACGCTCGTGTTTTTGCGGCGAAGCAGAATCGCATGAAGATGAAGACGAGGATGTAGAGAGCGCATGCCAGTTTATGATAATAGTCATTTGTTTTTTATGGAGCAATTTCAACGAGCTGTAACGGCTTCACTGTGAAAAAAAGTGCATCTTTGTGCAGTAAAAGTTTTACAGCTCATTTGTATCTGATGTGTACTTTATTTCTTACATCTATAAAAAAAATCTGAGCTATTCGGTTTATTTTCTTTCAGTGGTTGCTCATTCAATGTTGTACACGGTGCGCAGAAAGGACCGTTGCATTTTTCTGAATCACACGCTGCACACTCATACACACGCATATTACGTAAAGAAGTGAATAAAAAACTTAGGGACACTGTAAATATTAGTTTGTTCCGGGAAAGTTTGTGGTCATGCGACTGACTGTGCCATGCTTTTTTTGTTTTTTTTTCGTGTATTGTGTTCGGTGTAGCGTTTGGTGCCAGGAGAAACCACATTGTTTGGGCGCTTCTATCAACGCCTTGCCGTGAAACAGCTTGCCCGCTCACCTGCCCCCTTCCAAGAGAGTCATGCTAGCAGATTGCCGCTTATTCCGCAAGTACTGTTTGTCGGCGAATATAAGATTTGTGCACATTATTATTTAAATGTTAGTGATTATTGTTTATATTTGCTGTCTGCCTGAGCAGCGATGTTGAAATGGTCCATATGTGACATACCTTGCACGATTAGCCGGATGTGCTTCTCGTCTTGTCCGTAGCTGTTAGCCACTTCACACACGTATATTCCCGAATGCTCCCGCTGTGCCCCAGGCACTGACAGAGTGGACACAAGGCCGTCCGGCAGCGACTTGGTCTTCACGCGTGAACCCCGCCTGTCGGAAATAGGCACGGCCGTTTTGGGTGCGAGAGAAAAAGCGTTGACTGATGTTACGCGAAGTTGAGTTTAACTAGAAGGGGGTACACTAGTTGTACAGTCAAGTTAGGCAGGTCAAGGGAAATGGATGTGTTACAGGAATGCTAATACTTCGTTAAGTGCAACCCACACGATACGTAATATTTACATTAACCCCCGTACTCTAGAACCTTCCTTCACTCTAAGCTTCGCCTTCTCTTGAAAAAGCCGATGGGAGCGTCATATCTAGGTACGGCTAGTCACTGCATACCAGCGATAGTTTGCTGTGAATCTTGAATAGCGCAGCGTAATTTGCAGCCGAGTGCTGGCGCAGTGCTCACCTCTGTCAAGGGAAGGGTGAAGTCGAGTCGAGGAGAGTTTGTGAATAAGGGGGTAAGCGTTTGACATCCTTTACCTCGTACGGATCAAAGTAAGCTAATGCTTTTACCTTCACTGTTTAAAAAAGAAAAAAAAACCTGCAGCAGAAGACAAAAGTTTTCAGAAAATGCATAGATAATTACTAAACACTCTAAAGCTTTCCTTCGGAGTGCAAAAAGTTACACCATCTCCCGCTGAAGAGAAACGTTTGTAGATGCGAAGCAGAGGCCGCTAACGCTTACACTGGCGGCGGCGTTGATCTAGGCGCTCATCACGGCGTTACTCAAGAGGAAAACTGGGTGGGTGGGGGGGGGGGGGCGCAAAACATGCAGTGATAGACATGTGATTCCTACTGAAAAATGCCAATTATTGCTAACGGGCAATTAGACTCAGAAGCCTTTGATTGAACAATGAAACTTGCCTGACTCACAAAACAGCCCACACGTCTGAAGAAGCCTGTTATGTTAAGGTCAAGAACAAACTTGCATAAAAGCGACATCAAATGTTTCAAGTTATCTTTTACTTAGACCCACACGCATGCCGAATTGACAGGTTCACCTATAGTATAGGCATGTACGGTTAAGTATTGGTGCCTTCTTCCTTTTTCGTCGTCACCGGTCCGTTTCGTTGTTTGCTAGCGATTGTGGTGTCGTTTTTACACAACCACAATAATGAAAACGTATGATACCTTTTCATGTATATCTGCTATGGTAAAATGTTTCTTTGCCGTTTTCTTCTTTACGTTACTTCTTTAACAGCACTTTTTTGGTGGCGAGTAACCACATATTTTTCGGCTGTAGCACGAGTACACCCTGCTTCGGTGCATGGCAAAAGGGAATTAGGTGCAGGTTCTTCTGGCGAAGTGTGATTAAAGACTACGGTACACTAGGGTGAAAATTGCGTATTGCGTCTGCATAGTCCGAAGATGGGCTGCAGCTTTCAACAATAATAATAGATTTTGGGAACAAATTCGTTTCATGTGGCTGACTCAACTAAAAAAAGGAGGGGGGGGGGATGTTGTTTTGACAATAGCACTCAGATGCAAAGTTGTAATTTACTTTGACACCAGTTAACGCGGGCCTTTCCACTAACGCCATGCTCTTGCTGGTGTTTCTTAACAGACTTTTCAATAAGCAAGTGGCAGCCTTCATTATATTTTTGAAAATAATAGTGATAATACTTATTTTATTATTTATTATTTTATTATTTAGAATATTATTAGAATAATAATATTCTAAAGCTACCAGCATTCGTAAGAACAATATCCTTTGAAGCGACATTGCAGGGAGCTGACAACATTGAAATTATGGCACAGTACAAAACACTACGGGCTAATATGCATGCAAATGGCCTTACAGACTGTGCGAATAAATGATTCTCGAGGAATATGGGCTGTCTGAGAAGGCCGTGGGTGAAATAATTTAATGACACGAATTGCTAGTACACGTGCTATGTCTAAGTGAGTTATTTGCTACGTCTTTAGAAGCCACAGACTCATTCTAAGAACAATATTTGAAACTATGGTTGCTCTAAATAACTATTATCGTCAACTTCCTCAAATAATTTGGTTTGCCTTTGCTGGAAAGCTTACATCTAAAGTGCGACACCACAAGTCGGCCTGCGTTAGTGCCATCCACGTATACAAACACCACGTTTCCGGCTACACCATGGCCTGGCTGTGAATCCGGAGTACTTTTTCTTTTTATGGGTAGTCATGCCATCCTTTTGCCATTTTTGACTGGTCGTTTCGGAGCGATAGTGAGCTATTCATAATAAAATATTGTGAGCCCAAACTAACGAGACACAAGAGAGGAGACAAATGAGCGCTCGTTTGTCTTCCGTATGTGTCCCGTTAGTTTGCGTACCCAATATTTCATTATAGAAAATTGGCAGATCCCACGTGCAGTGGCAATCGATGAAATGCTAAGCACGAATAAGAGAGGTTAATGTGTCACTTTAAAATCAGCACAACGTTACAAGGTGGAGGTAGATGATGCCGTAAATGACTTCCGTGTCATGACTATCAGTTTGTATGTGTCGTTTACCTTTGTCATTTATTCACAACACATGATATCATATTTAGTATATGTGAAGCTATCGAAACGGCCGTGAGCATGCTATTAGCGTGGTATGTTGTCAAGTTCTTACATGACACGCGTGTCAGGGTTATCATGTTTGCACCAGTCATATATTTTGTCATTTATTTATGTCACGTAACACAAAAATTGGTATATTTGGAGCTAGCAAAACGGTCGCCAGCGCATCATGAGGGTCGAATATACCCCGATGCAGCGTTGACGTGCACGCACGTTGGGCACAGCGATCCTATTTCAGGAAAACGCGAGCACCTAAAGTCTAACGCCAGGCATCACCGGCGCGACCAGCGTCCGTCGGCGTGGCCCGACGGCAACTGCCGCGAAATTCGCAACGATGCATTACCCAGATAACACTGCGTCACCTTTTTATCGTGGCGGAGGGACACCGGATGCGCTGAAACGCGCATGCGTCATAGCAACGCAGCGCGACGCGTGCCTGCGAGCAGGACGGGTGCCTGGCGTGGCAACGCCGGCGTGACGCGCGCGACAAAATGAACGCCGGCGAGCACGCGAACCGCGTCATGTCGAAATATATTGGTGCCTTGACTGTGTCATGTAGTCATGTTGTCACACAATATTACGTTTACACCACTCACATACCTTCATCATTCATCGACGTCACGTATTACCAAATTTGGCATATGTGAAGCTAGCGGAACGGCCACGAGCGCATCTTGAATGTGGCATGTATAGTCATGTTATAACGTGACACGCATGCCGTGATTATCATGCTTGGACGTGTTATTTACCTATGTCGTCCGTACGCGTCACGTAATACCGAGTTTGATATTTGTGAAGCTAGCAAAACGGCTGCGAGCGCATCATGAGCATGGCATGTAGTCTTGTTCTTACACGACACGCATGTCATGATTTTCGTATTAGGGTCTGTCGCTTGTGTTCGCCATGCAATAATGTCATACCATACCAGTTTTGCAACATGCCTTGTGAGCGAAACCAGCGCAAGAGCTACAGGACCATGAAATATAAATCATGACATTGATGATATACATGCCTTGATTTTCGTAATATGTTCTTCATACAGTCATAATATGCCATACCAAGTTGGGTATCGATACCATTATCGAAACGGCCAGGAGAGCTAAATGTTGTAGGTGGCTAGATAGATAGAAACGCTCAAAGCCGCCGAAGTTTGCTAAAAAAATGCTTCGCATTTATTATATATCAGCTAGTGCGCCTATCTATCTTTCTACAATAGTGAAGTCCTGAGAAAGAGAGAGAGAGATGTTGCGTCGATGCCTTTCCTCAGCCTTTCTTTCTTTCTCTGGAGAGTGCTCTAGAGCACTTCGAAATGACCAGTGAAAGATGGCGTTAGAGAACGATTCCCGCCACTGATTTGCGACGCAGCTGTCGCCAAACGCATGTCCAGTAGAGCATGGGCCGCCGAGCGTAACGCGTCGATACGGTTCATTTGTTTCTCGCAGGGAACTCGCCATCTCCCCTTGGGCGATTTCGTGACTAGCGTTGGCGAGAGGAATGAGAAAGGGGGAGAGCCAGAACCGTTAGCTATGGAAAAATGCCCTCAACGAGAGCAAGGCTTTGAAAAACGGTTCGAGTACAAGTCTGTGTCGTCCCGGCGAAAACATCACGAATGCAGCAAATAAAAAACACTGCTAGCTCATTAAAAGTTGTTCTTCTGTAATGGACCTTTGGTTCACAAGGCAGTTGAGAACGAAACGAGTGCCACAACCACGCTTACCAAGGTAATCATTATTTTAATAGCGATGGGAACACAGAGCTGCGCTAATGTGTACCGAGCGAAAAACAAGCCTTACTTGCGGCCGCTTTATCATACCATCATCAACGCCACGAACAAGGACACCCAGAGTACTGTTCACAACAGTCGCATGGGAGAGAACGGAACATGATCCGCGGCTCACCCACATCTCTTCCACGTGCTCGTTGTAAGATGTTAGCTTCTCTTGTTCCTGATCTTTCTCTTTCTTCCTGCTCATGTTTCTCTCACATCTGCGTACGCATTGCGGCAGTCTTTGTTCGCTTGTTTGCTTCCGTTATTTTAAGTTCTCTTTCCTATGCACTCGTCCTTATTATTTTTTTTGTTTTGTTTTTTCCAAGGGATACTTTCGCTGTCTTTAATGATCGCCGTGGCTGAGCGAGCATGCGGGACGCTGACGCGGCCGCACAGTTGGGAGCGGCACTGACACGCGAAAAAATGGCGCGGAAGTTGGTAGCAGATGGACATTCATTTCTGGCCGCTGTTCTTCTGCTGCCTTTCTCGATTTACCTTCGCATTCTCCTTTCTTTCGGTGGCTCCTTCGAAGGAGCGCGAGAAGATCGTTTCCACGCGGCCACGACAAAACGGCAATTCCGAATGCTCTGGAGATCCACGTTTGAGAACGATCGGAAGACTGGCGAGAAAAAAAGGAGTAAAACAGTGTAGGGGATAAAGAAAGGCCACGCACAATTTGTGGGTGTCCAGCCAGCGTCCGTTGCGGCTCCAGCTGATGTTGATGGGCGCATCGCCAGAGGCCCTGCACTCGAGGGCGACGCTGTGACCCCGCTGCACGGTCTGGTTCCGGTAGGACTCGTTGAAGCGCGCTGGCACTGCGAGACAGAAAAACTGTTTGAAGACGCAAGGAGAACGCCCACTGGCAACTCTGTGGCTGCACAAGCAATGCGTGGCTGAAGTTGTATATCTAAGCATGTCGTTTTAGGTACTGCCGACCGGAAGAAAAAAGAAATGCAAAGCGATAATGTAATAAGCAGTGCACTGCGACGGGAATGGCTTCGTTTAAACATCTGAGTAATTCACATTGAGCGTTGTCCTTTGTAGTTGTCGTTCTATTCTCTCGTAATTTTCTGCTTTTCAGTGATATCGTTGAACTGAGCTTCAATATTTTGTTAAGGGAAGGAGAAGGGAACCTAAGAAGCTGAAAGTGGATCACCCATTTATACCTAACGTGTCGTTTATGCACGAAGGCATGTGCGAACTCAATCCGCCAGGGTACCCTTGCAAACCATGTAGTCTTCGTAAACTGAAGTGCCGCGAAGGCACAGAAAAGTGGGAGCACAAGCCAAGTGCGCTTCAATGTAACAATCAAGCATCGCAAGCTGACCCTCCCCCCCCCCCCCCCCAAAAAAAAAAGCTGTTCTATAGATCATATGTAGTGAAGAAGATGAGTGCTACTCAGAAAGGCAGGGGGTATGACTCAGTCGGTGAAGAAGACGACGTTTGGTTGGCTGGGTACTAAGGCTGGTTCCGCCATTACCACTTGACGTGTCATGACCGCTCTCTTGTTTTATAAAAGAGTGCCACTCTGAAACGCCTAATTTTACATGTAATAATTGTAGGTATACTTTTCTGTTCATTGTCACAGCAGCAGAAGAGAACAAAGCTCATATCGGAGAGCACTTGCGTTTTTTCTTGCCTGTATAGGAACCAGTGATCAATGCTTATATGAATATCGCAGTAGAAACGCTCAAGTGCTTCGGTTATTATAAGAGGAAACGCGCTTCCGCTCTCGTATTGTAGCCTGGGGTAGCTAACTACGCGGTCATAATCCAACAAAACACTTTCTTTCTCTACATATCTGACATATCCAAGCAGATAAGTAGAAAAACACAAATGTAAACCCATATGTGTCTCTTTCATATAATGAAGGTGCTTGCCATGGATGTTGAGAGTGATGACCGTGCTGAGTCCAGTGCTGACGCCATTGGTAGCTTGGCACAGGTACGAACCCCGGTCCGAGACCCGCGCTTGTGCGACACGCAGCGTGCCGTTTTCGAAAACTTGGTAGTCTGGGCCACTCATGATCTGTCGGTATTCCGTGGCGCCTGGTTCTGCGCAAGTGAAAAAGGAAAGAAAAAACGCACCCCATATGCGGCCACCTCAGACGACTGAAAATAGAAAACCGTCGTCATCTTCTTTTTCAGTCTATTTTATTCATCCCGTTCCGCCTTCCTCCGAAAGCTTTCTGCCCATAACGTGGTTATAAACTGGCTCCGAGTTCAGAAGCTTCACACGTTGTTTTGCACTGCTTCCATGATTGGGCCAACATTCAACGTGCTTCCACGGCGCATGATGCCGCCATTATGTGTTACGTCAACCAACCTTCGCGTTTGGCGAGGCGTCTAACGCCGTTGCTTAACAACACAGTGTAGTCGCAGTTCACGTGGACGTCTACGATGTCATGTAATGAGCACATTTGCAATGCATTGCCTTTAGAAGAAGTGACGTGAAATAAAACATTACGTCACAAAGCCACGAAGAGTTGTAGCATTGTCTTGGACCAGGCAGGAAAGAATGAGATTATTAGAGATAAAGAGCATGCCGTGAAGCTTGTTTAACTGGTTGCGTAGTGTGTCTCGCTGGTGGCTCTGTTGTTGACACTGCGATGCGTGGATCAATGCTCAACCGATGGTCACCGGTTCAATCTCGTACGATGTGATCGCATTTTGATGGAGGCAAAATTATAGAGGACCAGTGTACTGGGTGCTGTCAGTGCACTATATAGAACACCAGGTCATCAAACTTATGCAGCCCTCCGGTATGGCGTCCCTCGTCATTTTATCTGGATTTTAGGATGCAAACTCAAGATATTTATCTACGTATTTATTTATTTATTTGGTAAAAATGTCAAGCCTCATAGAGGGTCATAACAAAAAGGACATACATAAAGAATGTACAATGTCCATAAAGTTTCTTACTAGTTTGACAACTCACAATTCAAACTGGTATTCTCCTAATTAACAACTCAACATTCAATTAACAATTCAAGAACAATTCAAATTTTAGTCATTTTTCAAAATATTGACTATGAGCATGAAGTCCCTTACGTCACTTGGCATTTACAAAAAAAATCAATTTGGCAATCACGCAAATGCGCTTGTACGGTATTTTCGAAATCAGTGACATCTTTTAAAACAACAATTTTGTTCGGCAATTGGTTCCACACTTTTATGACATCTGTAAAAAAAGATTATCAAAATGTGTCAGTATTTGTACGGTATGGTTTTATGACGCAATCGTGGTTAGTTCGGGGATTTCTTTTGCGTGGAGAATGTAAATTATTTGAGCTTGTCTATTTTCAGTTGATCATGCATTATTTTGGAACAATACTTTCAGCCTACATTTATTTCTACGTAGTTCAAGAGGATCTAGGTTGCATCTCTGTAACATCAGTGTGACTGATTCCTTCTTTCGGTACGTTGAACCAATAGAGCGCGCTGCTAGTCTCTGTATTCTTACGATGTGGAAGTGTGTGGCATTGAAGCTAGCGGTTCACCGACATTGCCACTTCCGTATTACCACTTAAGTTCAGGGAGAAATTGACGTGTCACTCGGACAAACGTCCGTTGGACCAGCATGTGGTGAGAAGGCAACAAGACATCAAGAAAAAAAAAAGCAGACTGTGCGCAGTGGACTTGTATTCTAAAGCTCTGCAATAGCAAATAAATGTCGTGAAGCATGATCCACGTTAGCGTGATTCACGTTTCTGAATCCACGGCGTATGCCTACAGGAAATATTCAATTTCGAGGAAGTTATGTAGATAGCTGTGGTAGCCAATGTCATACCTTGCTAATTTGTTTGTTAGAAGCTTCAAATAACCTGATGTTAACGAGCGTTTTTACCGTAGTCCTTAGGCGAATGATCAGTGGCATTTGCGTGTCCTTGCGTAACTGCTGGTAAGAATTGTAGATATCCGTAACGCCATTGTTGAGAGATAATCAACAATTGCTGATTGATTCGCACCAAGTCTAGCTACTGTACTTCTTGCAAATAAATGCCTATTCCCTGCCTTCCGGGGCCCGAGAAAAATCAGCAAATTATACGGATGATTTCTTGACGCACACGTCTACTAAGAGTACAGCACAAGAACAGAAAATATTTGCCACAACTTCTGGGTCGATGCGTATCGAGTCTGAAGCCAGTATTAAACAAAAAAAGATGGGCGGACAAAATGAAGCGACCAAAGTGGTGAGAAAATGCAACAAGAAAACCCGCAGAATGTGTAACGAGTGGGGTGAGGTACCGGCTCTTGGAGAGACCTTAAAGGCGAATCGATAACGTCGCTCAACTTTGGAACGGGAACTAATTACGCGGAACGCTCGCTTCTTACTGATCATCGTCAGATAAGACACTCTGCCGAAAAAAAGAAGTGAGAAGGGAAGCATATAATGCAAATAAAGTATATATATATATATAACAATGGGTTCAAACAAAATCACCTCTGTAAGGCGTGAATGCAATAATTCACTTGCTTATTATAGCTGCTTTGCAAAAGATTATTTTTTTTATTTTCTCTTCTCGTCGTCGTCCAGGAATGGAAACTCGTAGTAGGATCAGATTATATATGGGAAGTTCATCTGAAAACACGTATTGTGCTGCTTGATTCTATTTGTTTGTTTGTTTTCGCTTTTATGATACTGATTCTAGTTATCTGTTCTTTCTTAGTGGGAGATAGTTTATAGAATAATGTATCCTTGATATCGCTGCTGATCAGCTGGTTCATAAGCGGCAACCGTCTGTGTGGATACTCACATATTTAAGTGCCTTTTTCTGCTCAAGTGAGGGCCCCGCCGCTGTGGTCTAGTCGCTAAGGTACTCGGCTGCTGACCCGCAGGTCGCGAGATCGAATCCCGGCTGCGGCGGCTGCATTTCCGGTGGAGGCGGAAATGTTGTAGACCCGTGTGCTCAGATTTGGGTGTACGTAAAGAACCCCCGGTGGTCGAAATTTCCGGAGCCCTTCACTACGGCTTCTCTCATACTCATATGGTCGTTTTGGGATGTTAAACCCCACATATATATCGAGCGATTGCTTAAGGGAAGGGGGGGGGGGGTCAAAACATTGGGGTTCGGAAAACGTGGCGATCTGTTTCAGAGCGTAGGAGTTGAAGAAGGGACACTAGTTAGGACGGAAATTTATCCGCTTCAACATCCAGATAGGGCTCATCTCGTGCCCTTATTCATCACTTGTTTCATCGTTTTTTCGCTCTGCTTGCTTCAACATTTATCGACTTTCTTCTAAAGGTACAACAATGTAGTAATAAGCAAGCTTATATTATATTGTCAGCAGAATGTCTTTGTGCTTCCTGTTGTGGCTGCTATAACGAAGACCGACATGAAAGACGTGTGATCGGATGGGCGATGACGTCACCCATGCTGCCACAGGCTGATCGAGCAGGGGCGCACGTGGCCGCTAGAGAGGCGACAGGCGTAATCCATCTTCATTTGCCGGAGACCTTGTCTGTTTACTCATCTCTTATCATTTGCCCGTTCATGCCGAGGCACGTGCGATGCCAGGCGCATCGAGCGCTTATGACCGCTTTGATGATCCATAATTGCCGATTACGTTCAATAATCTTCCTGCCGCCGTTCCGCATTCGAACGTGTACGCATGGCCCAGATTTGAGTGATCAAAGAGCAGCGCACGGTGTGCGATGTACTCGAGGTAGACACTGCGGAGTTTATAGGAAGCACCGCTGCAGTATGTTCTGCAGTCGTATACATTGTGTATTTTCTTGTTTTGTTCAGAGAAGGTGAGAGAGAAATAAAGAGCTATGCTACTTGCTTTGCGTGATAGATCACGGAAATGTGAAAGCGGAAAGTTAGAAATAAAGAACGGTGCTAATTTATGATTTCAGGCAGATAGAGGCTTGCATTAAATAAATTATTCTCTTTTGGCGGGGTTTGAGAATAATCGTCTCAAAACAGTCCTGGTTTTCTCCTTCCTGTTCTCGGCTGTATTATTATTATCGTTTTATTGTTCTGTTCTTTGCTTCATCTCATATTCTCGCAAATTTGACTTTCATTCCGAGCCCAGCGTCTCGGCCATCCTCTGTTGCGCTACTATTATTATCGACACAACTCAAGTATGCAAGCGCATGAGCGTTAGCGCTCTGTATCATGTGACCCATAATTAATCTAGAACCTCCTCTTGATCTCGGTTTTGATATTTCAGCGATGTCTAACAAAGCCACTTAATCAATGATTGGAAGGATTCCGACTTTCGAAAAAGGTAGAGTGTTGAGCTAAATGCATATCATCGTTAGTTAAGAATGGTTGCTTGCTGGGCACATTAGTTTATTTCAAAACATGTAAGAGCGCATAAAAACAAGAAAGGACGTCACAGAATGAGCGTGAAGAGCATGAACCAAGTTTCTAAAAGCATTAGCTCATCCTTGGTCAATTTCATTGGTGGCATGCTGATTACTCGCGCGGAAGAGGGATGTAGCGTCAGCTAAGCATGACATCGCTTCCACTGACCAAGGATGAGCTAACGTTTTTAGAAACTTGGCCAGTGCTATTCACACTCTGTCGGCCCCATCCTTTCTTTCTTTACGCGCTGTGACCTGTGTTCATTGTTAGACTCCGCATGGCTTTGGTATGTTGGGGGTAACGTTTAGGTATACCACAATAGCATACTGATGATTATATGGTTTTTTTAGACACTCGTAGTTTTTCTGCACGGATTTTGTGAAAGTATTATGCGGTAGCGTTGAAGAGATTGTTTCGCCAGAATTCCGGCATCGGTGGTGGTATCAGCGTCACTGGTTGTAAACAAAAACGAGCCATCTTTGCGTGACCTCAAAATCTTGAAGATGCAAATAAGATGAGTATTATAAAACTCCGGGTTTGATTGGGGTTCAAACACGTGTTTTTTGTGTGGCAAGCGCGTTTTTACTACACAGAAACACTTTTGTTTGTAAACACAGTTAAAATATCTTGCTCTGCTTGGCAATTTTTTAAAAAAAGTAACTTTCATGCTTTACTGAACCCAGGCGTCCTGTATACATGCTTCGTAATAACACAATAAATATTGTCATAATACGTGGTACA